TACTTTGTGGGGTGATGAAAACGCTCTAAAATTGACTGTGGTCATGGTTACACAACTCTATAAATGTACTAAACACAACTAAATTGGACACATTAAATGGGTTAATTGTATGGCATGCAGATTATACTGCAATAAAGCTGTTATTTTTTTTTTAACTGCATTTCTATCCCACCGTAAGACAATAAAAATGAGGGTTCCCCGGCCATCTCAGAAAATGGAAGACAAATTTAAAGGGCCCTATCCTTAGCAACAAAGGAGCTCTGGTAGCGTAGTGGTTACAAATCGGGCTGCTAACCTCAAGGTCAGCAGTTCGAAACTACGAGCAGTTCTGCAGGAGACAGATGACAGGCTTTCTGCTCCCATAAAGATTTTGAGCCTCGGAAACCCTGTGCATGGTCACTGTGAGTCAGAACCAACTCTACAGTACTTAACAACAACAACAATCCTTAGCAACCAGTCCAGAAACCAAGTATAACGTGGAAAGGAACACAATTCTTGAAAACCCAGGCCATTCCTCAAAACCAACAGCCTAATTTACTTTCATCTCTATGAAACCAAATTTGGTTTGCCACTGAGGACATGAAACAGCAAGACACAGAGTCCAATGCCTGTTTCTTCTGTAAGGCAAACAGAGAGAAGCAGCAAGTCCAGCCATATAGAGGAGAAAGTTCATCTAGTAAATGTGAAAATGTAGGCTACCAGAATGTTATTTGGAACAGAAGAGGCTTACTTACAATTTTTTTCTTTATAACTTGTGGACCTTTTCCTTTTTTTCTTTTTGGCATAACCACAGCTTGATGCAAGCCATCTTACAAAGATTTTGTCCACCAGTATTTAAGACACATACAACTTTGTAAGTTGCCAGCCTGAAAATGGTATGAGCCATCCTCCCTTTCTCCATACCAAAATCTGTCCCTGTTTGCCAGGTGGCTTTTACTGGAGAATCACTGAGTCTTGCCAAGCCAGAGTACAGGAAGACGGTAACAGCTGGAAGATGATCACTGAGCAGCACCGTTTGCCAGTTCTTTCTTTACATGCACTGCTTCATTGGAGCCTCACAACAACCTGATGAGGTTAGCGTGGTTATTCCCATTTTATACAGGGGTTGCTCAAGCTTAGTAACTTAACTTGCCCAGAGTCAAACAGCTAAGAGCTGGGACCAAGATTCAAACCCAAGTTTACCTGTCTCCAGGTTGCTCTCTTACCACCAAATTATAGTCCCTCAACAAAAACCGATGAAGTTAAAGGAAAAGAGATATTCTAAAACTCTTAATTTTACATCTTCAGCCTTATCATCTCTAGAGACAAGAAACAGAAAGACTGGTCTTTTGACTGAGACACTGATTAAGCAGGTCAGAGAAGCAGGTCCTGGGAAAGTGAAGTCCCCCACAGAAAAGGCCAGCATCGGAAACAATGAACTGACCGTTGCCAAGGCTTTACTCTACATCAAACGAGAAGTGCCTCCAAAAGCAGGATTTTATTATATGTATGGCCCAGACTATTTTATTGCTTATCCTTCCATGTGTCCAGACCAGAGAGCTGGACTCCAGACAAAGGTTTCAAGAAGTTCATTTCCAAGTAGAAAGTGTCTATAACTTTTATTAGATTTTCAAAAGGGTCAGTGTGAGAACCACCGACCTAGAGGACAAGGTTAAGTGCTCTAACTGCTGTGTCACCTTGTGCAGGTTACTGACCTCTCTGGTCCATTTCCTTATTCACAAAATGGAAACAGCAATGACAATGATCTAACTGAACTTTGGGAATCTCTGATGATCAATTTTATTGTCTTAGATTAATGCATGAAGGGAATCTAAATTCAAAGATCTAACAATAAAATAAAACCATAAAACTTTACAGCTGGGAGATACTACAGGATCATATAAGCTAGGGGTGGGGAGCATTCGGCCCACGGGCCATATGGTGGTGGTGGTTATGTGTCATGGTAAGGCCCTCAAAATCATTGGATCTGGCCTTACCAAAGCAACCACAGTTCCAGCCATCACATTGTTGTTGTTGTTGTTGTTGTTGTTAAGTGCCGTCGAGTCGATTCTGACCCACCGCGACTGTATAGGGTTTCCAAGGAGCAGTTGGTGAGCTTGAACCACCGACCCTGCAGTTCAAACAACTTTGCAGTCTGATGCATTAAGCTCACAGTGCTACACCAAGACTCCAGTCATCACATTGTTATTGTCGTTGTTATGTGCCTTGGAGTCAGTTCCAACTCATAGCGACCCTGTACAGGGTATCCGTGGGCTGTAAATTTTTACGGGAGCAGAAAGCCTCATCTTTCTCCCACGGAACAGCTGGTAGTTTTGAACTGCTGACTTTGTGGTTTGTAGCCCGATTCATAACCACTATGCTACCAAAGCCATCACATTAGGGGTGAGTTCATTAAATGTTTGACCAAATATAGCATGATAATTTTCAAGTTGATAATTTTGTATTGCCCACAAATGTATAAATATAAAACTATTCTTTGTAGAAAAAAAAAAGGTTTCTCACCCCGATCTATATCAATGTTACTTGTAGAATTCCTGTATTTATTTTTAAGGTACACTGGAAAAATACTGAATTTACAGTTATAGTAGTATAAAGATAATTTTTTTAAGAAAATATTATGTAAATACTAACAGTGGTATAAATCATATAGCTTAGGTGGTTTGTGCCTGTAGTCTGGTTAACAGCTCCACCCTCTTTATTTTAAAGACAGGGAAATTGTGGCTCTAAAAGGTCACATGACCTGTTCAAAGTCATAGTAGAGCTAGATTTAGATACCACAAAACCTGGGTCCCAATCAGTCTTTCCCCCAAGTTATAGAGCTGGTCCATTAGACAGCTAAAATAACCCTTGAGCCCTATTACTGAAATGTTTCTTCTGACCCAAAGCACTCTTACAAAAAAGATAGTAGTTGGGCAAATGGCCAGTCACACAAATGCACTCTACCCAGATTCAATGTTGAAGCTTAAAACTCATGTCCAAAGTCCATCAGGACTGGTCCAGAGTTCCATTCAGGGCAAGTGGGATGGGGCAGGATCAAGAGCTCTCTGCAAGGCAATAACTCCATTAAAACAGCTCTAGTGACTAGGCTTAGTTTTGTACAAACTGTGACTCAGGGCTAGTGCATCCTCAAGTTTCAGTTTTCTCATTTACTTAATTCTTAGGTGACGTGGTATTCGGCAGGAAGTAAACCTCTGTAGTCACAATGGCAGTAGAATATTCACAGCTATCTCCTCAGTGCCCAATGCAATACCTAGCACAACCTAATCATTCCAAATATTGACCCAAATTAAAGCCAGTCTCAGAGTTCAATCAAAATTCCTGGGCAGGGTTTCTAAATGGGCCCCTAAGGAGTCCTGGTGTGGCACTGTGGGCTAATGCATCACAAAGTCATTTGAACTGCAAGGTCAGGAGTTCAAGTTCACCAGCTACTCCTTGGAAACCCTATACAAGGTCGCTATGGTTGGAATCAACTCAGCGGCATTTAACAACTGACTCCAAATCAGTGGTCCAATATTCCCGGCACCAAAGATGTACCTAGTAACTGATAAAGCAAGAGTCTATTCATGCTTCAGGTAAGACACAGTCTCCAGCAGAGGCCCTACCTCTAACATGCCTCATCACCCCCAATAGGGTGTTCATTTCACCCACAAAAAATTGACACTTGCCCTGGGAATCCGTTGTCTCTGTCCTCGATTTTAGAAGCAACAAGTTCACAAAATGACATCTCAGGTACTCCTTTAAGGAGGCCTGTATACAATTCTCACAGTGTGGACCCTATTCTACCAATTCAACCTTTCACAGTTCAAAGGTACCACTTACCAAGAAACCCATTACAGAGATAAAAAAGGAAAAGAGCCCAAGATAATTTCACTATCTGCCTTCATATTATTCCTAATTCTGCAAGCTAAAAAATGGGCTGAACTATTTTTTAAATGGGTAGATTGCAAAGGAATTGAAAGCACTCCCAAAATCCGAGGCACTGATCCCTAGAGTGTTCTCTATTTGTCCAAAAGGCGATACTGGATGGCTTCTGCAAAAGTCAAAGGAAAACCCATACACAAGATGTAAATTCATTTCTCCCCTATCAAAACAAAAAAGCAAGCAATGGTTTTACAAAAGGTTGGAGAATCTTTAAGATGAGTTTAAACGTTTCCTTACTGGGTGGGGACAGAGGACATTCCTTCTCAGATCTTTGAGTTTTCAAGGATAATGGGAGAGGTAAAAAGGAGAACGAAGGAACGAGAGAAGGAGTCTGGAGCTGTTCGTTCTATTTTTAAACCCTCGCCCACAGTTTAGAGTAAAGGAACATTCTGATTCTGTACTCCCACCCCTATCACCTTCTGCTAAATACAAGAACCAGAACCTGCACACGTAAATGGCACTGATTCTAGGTCTGGGGAGTGACCGGCTGTCAGTACGCTAAATAATCTTGGGCTAACAAACCATTCCACACAGCCCCTCGCCCGCCAGCTCCTGCGCCTTTCGGAGAAGCAGACAGCCTTGAGCAGGCTGGAGTTGCATACAGGGATCGAGTCACACCTGCCTTCTCCGGAGGGAGGCAGCTCCCCTTGGAAGGGCACGTTCCAGCCCTAAGGTAGGGTGCCCAGGAGTGAGCAACACTTCCCCTACGAAAACCAGAGCCCTGGTCGCGATGTGGTTTCCCGACAGGTTGCGGCGCACCAGGCACCACCGCCCCACTCACGGGACACCTGTGTGCCGCACACACCCACCCGCGATGCCCAAGAGCGCCATTCGTGCTCGGGTCACCTCCCCGCCAACCCACCACGCAAACGGCTCGGCGACAGGTCTCCTTCCTCATCTGATTACGGCTGGCTCACCCATATTATGTATCCTTCCTGCCTCATTACGAGCATCTACACCCATCACTCAATGCTGTGGGGTGAGAAACCCCACAGGAGCGCGGGGGACCAGGACTGCATGCCACCCGACGGCCCCTCCCACCCCGGGACAGCCGTCCCCGCCAGGCTCGGGGCACTCACTCTTGAGCGCGCTGATGAGTGACTTCCCGTCCTTAATGAGGTCCTTGATAAATTTGTTGGTCTTGTCCAGCTCCGCTTCGTGTGACTTGAGTGTCTCTCGGAAGTGCGGGCTGTCGAGGCAACAGTCGCTGAATTCTAGCGCGGGGAGCCCCATGGTGCCTGCGGCGAACAGCCGGGGGGCGCGCCTCCCCCCGGGGCCCGGACGGATAGTCGCCCGGAGCACGCACGCGGCAAGAGCTCGACCGGCAACCCCGACGGCCGCCGGCTCCACAGGTGTGGCGCCTACTCGTTCTCCGCTCCGGGTCCGGAGGCGCGCAAGACTCCCGAAATGAACCTGGATCCGGTAGATAGCCGGTTCCTCAGAGGCACACAACTGAGCGGTGGGCGAGAAGGAAGCGTAGCAGCCGACCCGAAGCGGAGCCGGGAAACGAGCGAGCAGGCGAGCGAGTGCGGACACCGCCTCCCCGCCTCCTTAGCTGGCTCCAGCTCTAGCAGCCTCTAGCGCCCTCTCACAGCAGCCTCGGCAGCTCCGCCGGCGTCCGGGCCGCTCGAACCTGCTAGCGATGACCTAATCCTTGCTAGAGCCAATCAGCGAGCCCGTCCCAGCCCGACCCCCGACAGCTCGGGGACGCCCGTCCCTTCCGTGAATTTAAACCAATCATCAGGGTCTAGAGGCGGGGCCATGCCACCGCCTAGGTCCGCAGCAGACGCTCCGCCCTTTCCCGCTGGCCGGGTGGTGCAGACCCGGAGACCGTACAGAGAGAGAACTTCTCGATGCTAGGGCTCCGGCCAGCCTGAACGTTTCCCGCCTGCTGCGGCCAGGATCTGAGCCTAGGATGGCATTGCTTGTCTGGGAGCGGAGGAGTCTAGATGTGCCGAATACGAAAAAGATAGGAATTAGGACTGCAGATCCCGCAGCCCTCCAGCAGTGCTGGGAAACCAAGCTTGCAATCAAAATGCAGCCCACTGCCCCCGTGAGAACACCGAACACTCCGAGCGACCATGTTGCCCATAGGCACACGCCTCTTCTAGTCGGGTGGAAAATATTTGCATCTTAAAATTACCAGTGTTTCTAGCCTGCAGTCTTCCCGCCTCCTAGAGTCCGTCCCCTTTCATGGTCCACTCCGGCTAATAAACCAGCCACGGCTGCCAGACCTAATTGGACGTACGAAAAAGAATTTCAACCTTCTGTTATTTTCCTTCTGGACACCTAGCAAATTTTACATACTTACATTCACTGCCCTTCGTCCTTTCGCTACATCGTGAGCTTCACTAGGGCACGGACCACCACAATTTTCTTCATGTATTCACTGCTACATACCCAACACCTACAACAATATCAGACTAATTTTAATAAGATACTGAGCACTTATTATGTCGTACGATGATTAATAAATATTTGTGTCATAAATGAATGGCTCCTTTCTTGTCTCTCTATTCACCTGCCACTCCCAATGCGTTGGATGGACCACAAAACTCAATTCAGATGGCTTGTCAGACTGGGTACCAAAGAGTGCCTTGTGCTGAATTGCGAACTACTGGAGGACAGGCACTGTCTTTGAATAAATTACTTGTGTATCCAGAAACTAACTCTCTTTCGGTTAAGTATGTTTTGTTTTGCTTCGTTTCATTATTGGTTTTTTTTAATAGGCCTGCTATGAGCAGGTAGTGGGCTAGATGGTAGATATACAAAAATGAATAACACAGAAGGAACTTGACTGCCTGCTGATCAGTGGAAGCCACACAAACAAGCAATAACAATGCTCAGTGACAAGGGCTTGGTTAGGAGAAGGATTGGGTGCTTCCCAACACTAGGGGTCAGAGAAGGCATCCCATCCAAGTAGAGAAATTGACTGAAGGCATAAATGGATGAATGAATGAAATCTATTTGTTACTTGTAGCTACAAATGGAAGGAGCCCTCTTGGTCCAAACCAAAAGATTGACTGTTAAAAGCCAACCAGCAACTCCACAGAAGAAAGACCTGGTGATTTGCTTCCTTAAACTTTAGAGCCAAGAAAGTCCTATGGGAAAGTTCTACTTTGTCAGACAGGGTCACTTTGAGTTGTAATTAACTCAAGGGTACCTAATAACATCTACAAAGCTAGACTTAACAGCAGTTAACAACAGTCATATGATAGTTGTTGGTAGTGTTATGTGCCATCAAGTGGGTTCAGACTCACAGCAGCTCTGTATAGGGTTTCTGAGGAGCAGCGGTTAGGTTTGAACCACTGACCTTGTGTTTTTAGCAATCCATTGTTTATCCTACATGTTCCTCACTTGCCAAGGACAGAGATGTGTACTTATTATCTACTGATATTTTAAATAGTGTGCTAAAACTCAATGGTTTAAAACCTCCCAACAAAGACAAGCCAACAGAAAGCTTCACTTGTTAATTCTATCAAACATTTAAGAAGAATGAGCACCAATCCTTTTTAAAATCTTCTCACTGATAGAGTAGGAAAGACTCCTTAACTCTTTCAATAAGACCAGCATTAACTTAATGCCAAAACCTGACAAAGATGCCACAAGGAAAGAAAACTACAGACCAATATCCATTATGAAATAGATACAAAAATCCTCAACAAAATACTAGCAAACCAAATCCAACAACATGTTAAAAAGGCTTATATAACAGGACCCAGTGACATTTATCCAGAAATGCAAAGGTGGTTCAACATTTTAAAAAATTTTTAAATCAATCAATTTAATACTCCACAGTAATAGAACAAAGGGAAAGACCCACACAATCATCTCAATTTATTCAAGAAATTGCATTAAACAAAATTCAAACTCTTTTGTGATTGAAAAAGAAAAAACACTCAGAGAACTAAGACTAGGTGGGAAAATCCTCAACATGATAAAGTGCTTTTACAAAAAAGAGAACATGATATTAAATCGTAAAAGTCTAAAAACTTTCTCCCTGAAGTCAGATACAAGACAAGGTAGCTCACATGCACCATTGCTCTTCACATTGTTATGGAAGCTCTAGCCAGAACCATCAGGCAAGAAAAGTAAACAAAGGCATCCCATTTCAAAACAAAGAAGTAAAAGGATTTCTATTTTCAGACACTATGATCCTATATATAGAAAATCCCAAAGAATCCACAAGAAAGTGACTAGAACTAATAAATGAATTAAGCAAAGTTTGTGAGATCAACACTCACAAAACTCAGTTGTTTTTATATATAGTAGCAAATAACAAGCTGAAAAGAAAACAATTCCATTTACATTAGCAACTAAAAGAATAAACATTCTAGGAATAAATTCAATCAGGGATGTGAAAGATTACATACTATAAAGCAACACTGAAAGAAATTGAAAAAGACTGAAAAAATGGAAAGTCGTCCCATGTTTATGGATTAGAAGAATTAATATAGTTAAGATATGAGTATTCCTCAAAGTGATCTAAAGATTCAATACAATCCCAAACCAAATTTTGACAGCCTGTTTTGCAGAAATGTAAAAATTGATCCTTAAATTCATATAGAATTACAAAGGGCCCCAAATAGCCAAAACAATCTGAAAAAGAAAAACAAAATAGGACTCACATGTCTCAATGATTTCAAAATATTCTATAAAGGTGATCAAAACAGTGATCTGATCAAAACAGACATATGAGAGTGAGTCAATAAGTACTGCAACAAAATCATAGAAATCTTTATTAAAGAAAAATATCAAGATATGAAGCTATTATTTTCTTTTTTATTGCATAATATATATAATTTTTAATGAGCATTTAAAAATAAGTTAAGCTATTTGAAAAATGAACAGCTGAGTAATGAGCACATTTAATAATTTGGAAGTCAAAGCAAATGTGAAGGATTTGGTTTTCTACATTTAAAATGAAGAACTAAAATTCTCTTCTTGGTTTGCAGTTAAAGGCATGAGATTAGTTTCTAATTCCTTTTGCTTCTGCAGAAGGCCCTGTCTCATTTCTGACAGTTCCTTAAGGATTGCCAGTTGTTGATTCCTGTTTTTTCACCAAGTTAGGATTAAGAAGTGGATCCCTGACAGGGTCAGATTCAAGTAGTTGCTGTTGTTCTTGGTCACAGTCATGTGAGGGTCCTGGGTTGAAGGTCTAGACAATGGTGCACCAGGATCCAGGGATAGACCTCATTAGTTCAGTCATAGGGAATAAAATGGGATGGTTCCAAAATGCCAAGTGACAGTTCTGTTTGACTATCTCCTAAAATCCGAGTCTCTTTTTCATAAGTACTGGTTTTTGATAATGCATGTGATGTATTAGTGTGAGTTTGTTGGATTCTGTTTTTCACTGCAGGATTGGGGGTGGTTGAGGCCTACTTTCTCTGCTGAAACAATTAATTTTCAGAGATTCTTCTTCCTCTTTGAGTAGATGCCATCTGCACCTTGACTCAAGTTCTTGATGTAATGCATGAAGAGCTTCTGGTGAAATGCTTCCATTTTGAGAGAGGTGTCCAGGATTGTTTCTTTCTACCAAGTGAAGCAGGTCATTTACTGAAGCTATTGTGTCTTGACATAGCCTCTTTCTAGGGCTACAGAATTCTGAAGGTGATGTTGACTCAATGGCAGTGGGAACCCTTCCCCAAAGAATTCTGCACTCTTTTGGTCAACACCACTTCAAAATGGCAGTTTTGGCATCCTCAAGCAACTCAAATTGTGTTCCTTTGAAAGGTTCCTTGAGTTTGGTGAACAAAAAGGAGTCTGGAGGGGGAATATCAGAGGAGTACGGTTGATAGGGTAAGGTTTCCCAATGAAATTTTCATAGGAGAGTCCCCAAAGAATGTGCAGGCTCACTGTCATGATAAGAGGAAACAATCCCTCCATGCAACTTTTCCGGCCTTTTTCTCACCAGTGCAATTTTCAAGTCCCTGTCAAGAAAATCCACCAGAATCTTCCCTTTGGAATCTCAAAAACAGGCACCATAACCTTCTTTCTGTGCTGACCTCTCTGCCTTGAATTTAACTGGCCCAGAAGATCCTTCCAGAACTACTGTTTTGATTAGACCTTTTTTCAAGATACCCTAACAAAATGAAGACAAGTGTATTACTGAGAGAACTTGTCTGCAGCCATCCACTGATAGCAAAAACATGTTTAAACACATTATTGTTTGGAATAAACTTGTATATATATGGTAACCCTGGTAACAATATTTTATTTCGCATACCCTCATA